ATTTCTCACATGGTTGGTCAAATTCTATAGTTTTCATTCTATCAAACAGCCTCTGAATGTTTTCTTCAGTGCAAAACTCATCCAAATTTAATATAAATAATTTTTCCAGCCTGTAAATAAAATGAACAAATTTTTCCACTTTCATGATCAAAGGCTTTTAAATGGATAAATAATTTCGAGTTATCCAGAGATTCGGATTGTTTTGCAAATTTTAGACAAATATCACATTGATGTATTTGAAGACCCTTTTTAATGATGTAGTCAAACATAATTAAAGGCATTTTGAGTTGAAAACATTTCTCAGAGGCTGTTTGATATAATGAAAACTATAGAATTTGACCACCCATGTGAGAAATTTCCTCTTATTTACATCATTAAATGATGTATTAGATTGAAAATATTTGATGTATTAAAGTTTACAAATAAAGATTTATATAGTCGAAAAAAGTCCGATAGAACCAATAGAAAGGTAACTATTTTGTCACATTGTTAATTAAATTTTGTTAAATAAATTAATTTTTTATACTATAAATATCCTATTTTTCCTTATAAATAAACACATTTGTATCCCATTTTAAATAAGATATACAGATTACCAAAACTTAGAAATAACAGTTCAAAAGTTCAACAAAAATCCTACACGCGTTTTTAAAAAGAAACATATAACCACGCACTATGTCACTCCAGCAAGCGAATACGACACAGCATGGGTTTCCGGCCTAACGACTGGTGTATTTACACCACTCAATAGGCGTGTCGGGTTTGCCGAACGGTTTCCGATGCAGTCGCTTTCTTTCGCATCTGTTATAGGTAATTTGTGACACGGGCTTGTATTTATCGTACTATTTTGTGAAATAGAACGAAGCAATCAAGGTCAAACGTTGTGGTGGCTTCAGAAAAATCAAAAACAGTGCATTTAGAACACAGTTATTGATGGTAGATTAAATTGGCTATTCCTCTAAGGTTACACAAGGATATTTAGTTTTAATCATTATCTAACATTATTAATTACAATATAGTAAAAAAATATATTTCCACAACTTAAAATCGTAAAACCCCTGGACAATACGCAGTGACTAACTGTTAGTTCGCCTTTTATAGGTTATAATCCTGCGTTAAACTATTTAAAAAAGAACGGCTAATTATATCTTATTTTTGAATGGATTTTTATCAAACCATGTTAGTATTATATATAAAAGTATCTTTTATTCATATCGGGTCAATCAATAATTTTAAATAAATAAACCCAAATAGCTCGATATATTGATGATGTTGCCACTATTACTCATCAAGCAATACTACTGTTATATTAATCAATTAGGGCCGTGTAAACAAACATAATATATACAATTTTATATATTAATTTATTATAATGAAATTAATAATAAACATTAAACATTTTGTAATTTAATTCCTGCAGATTGAGTGAAAAGTTTTGTTCTTAACTACTCTACATATTATAAATACGTGTTTATACCGGGTGCGTCTCAAAAGTGGCTCACCCCTATAACTTTTTTATTTTTGCAGATACAAAAACGGGATTTGTTATGTTAGTATATGACATAAATTAGGACTGATTGACGTATTCAATTGTTTTCTGTCACTTCCTGTTTCACAGGAAATGACTAACAACTTTTGATTTTTAAATGGCACCCTCGGCATTTTTTACTTTATTCGATAGAAAATGACATTCTGAATAGAATGACATATCATATGTCAACTTTTGACATTCTCTCGTAATAAAAAATTATATTTTAAAATTCAATCTAGAGGGTTATGGCTTTATTAAAAACACCAACTGAATATGTCCTCGAAAACAACAAATCAATGCCATTTTATGTCATATACTAACATACCAAATCTCGTTTTTTTAACTTAAAAAAAATATAAGTTTTAGGGGTGAGCCACTTTTGAGACGCACCCGGTATAATAATTTTCTGGAATATATATCAACATAAAACGAGATCAGATTAACGAAATGTCATCGTAACAACAGCAATTTTACAAACGTCTAGATTTACTTATTTCACTGGGATTTATGAAAAAAATCCTTTGCCTCGGGTACAGATACCGCCACGTTTTGGAAATAGCTCAAAATGAGACAAAATTGAGACAAGGCAACAGGAAACGCCAAAAAAAATCCCCCCACGCCCTCCTCACGAGTAGTTTTCAGGCGCTTTTAAAAATCGAAAGCAGGTCGAGGCAAACCGAAGTGACAGGTCGAGGCAAACCGGTCAAGACAACTGGAAATAAATCGAAATGCGACGAAGTTGGGCGACGAAATGCGACTTTGACCTGTTTTGAAGAGTTCTCCGCATAGTGTAGAGGCCATAGACTTAAAATAAAATATAGACTGAGCATCTCATTCATAAATAGCTGAAACATGCGGTCAGACAATGTCTTGTTATTGTTTAAGGTTATAACGAGTGCGACACGAGCGATAGATAGGTTGTCTCTGTCGTAACGGTCGTTCCCTGACGACTCTGACGAGAAACGCAACACTGTCTTTCGTTTCTCAAGTACACCTGAACTCTCCGTATCATAGCCGGGTAATTTTTTATTTTAATGAAGCTATAGTTAAATTAAAAATATATCGTATTTAAACTTTTTTATATTTTATAAAGATTTAGGAGAGGTTTTTTTTAAATAAAAGTTTAGAAAAAACGTTTTAGAGTCCAAAAAGGATAAAAATAATAAAATACATGTTATAGAAGAAATTTTATAATCGAAATTACGTAATTTTTGAAATTATTAAAAAAAATATTAATTTTAGTCAAACATTTACAACCCCTAATATTAATCAAAACAGGATCTATTCTACAGATATAATAGAATCGGCGACAGGGAGAGAAAAAAAATTATGATTTTTGTAAATTTTTTTTCTGGTTAAGTGATGTCTTATTTATGTAAATTAGAGAAAACATAAATATGTTCCATTAAAGCAAGGAAGGTGATAGGAAGTGTATAAAATGAAAACTACATTTATTTAACTCGGTACTGTCTTTATTATACCGGGTCCGTCCCAAAAGTGGCTCATCCCCATAATTTTTTTATTTTTTCAAATAAAAAAAACAAGATTTAGTATGCTAGTATATGACATAAATTAGGATTGATTGACGCATTCAATTATTGTTTTTGGTTACTTCCTGTTTCACCGGAAATGACTATAACTTTTAATTTTTAAATGGCACCCTCGGTATATTTCTACTTAATTCGATAGAAAATGACACTCTGAATAGAATGACATATCATATGTCAACTTTTGATATTATCGCATATGGTTTAATTGTAATTGTAACATACAGTTCATAACGACAATTTGACTCGAAATACCAAGTGTTTGGTATCAATATATTCATAAAAAAATGCTTTTTCCAAATATGCTAATGAGTCACCCTTATTCAATTTGAAACCATTGACATATGATTAAAAATACGATTTGTACATCTTTTAACCGGCCTAGACAAGACACGAAACCTATTAGACGATCAAAACTATTTTTCCAAGGCTCCTTGATTAAAACTTAGTGTTTTTAACAACACCATGGCACCCTGGATTGAAATTTAAAATACGATTTGTTTTTAAGCGACAATGTCAAAAGTTGACATGATATGTCATTCTATTCAGAGTGTCATTTTTTATCGAATAAAGTAGCAATATACCGAGAGTGCCTTTAAAAATCAAAAGATGTAATCATTTCCGGTGAGACAGGAAGAGACCAAAAACAATTGAATACGTCAGTCAATCCTAATTTATGTCATATGCCTACTAACATACAAATCTGTTTTTGTATCTGAAAAAATAATAATGTTATAGGGGTGAGCCACTTTTGAGGCGAACCCGGTATATTAAAAAATATTGTTTCATAATGTAATATAATTTTAAAATTCTAGTATGTTATTTTAGATTCTGAAGATAATTTTAGAATATATTTTTAATAAAAACATTATTAATTATTAACAGGGTTATCATAATTATGATTTTGTTACAAAAACCTTTATATAAATGATTATGTAAGAGAAAAAATTCAGATTTTACACATTTTACTAAAATATTATCTAAATAAGCGCCTTTCTACAACAACGCCACTGACTCCTAATGGGTACATTGAGAGTTGCCTACCGGTCGAAAGTCGTTTCAAGACTTAAATGGATTATTTAAGTCAAATTTCTTGCAAATTTGGCACTGGCGAACCATATTTTATAGTTCTTGAACATAAAAAGTAAACAAAATAAACACTTAAGGACTACAAGTTAAGAAAATGCGTTAATACAGCCGGGGAGATAGCGGCAACAAAGCTTTACCGAACACGTGCGACACGTACTACAAGGTAATAAATGGATGAATAGGCGACCAGACCTCGCCTCTAATCGGTGTTGCCATATTGTAAAGAACTTATCCTTTTTAAATAGTATCCGACTTATAATTTAGTAATATTAAAACCTACTTTATTAAAATGTAGTATTAATATCTCAATATATGTGTATAAGAAGAAAAAAAATATTGATAATATTAAAGACGTGACAACATAGGCTGGATGAGAAAGGCTCGGTTGACTGTACCCAGAAGTAAACATGTGTACAAAAAAGATTGTTTGACCGCGTTTAGATGTAAATAGTGTAGTCTATATTTTATTTTAAGTCTATGGTAGAGGCTGTTTATGATATATGCTGCTTTTTTAGGTTGTGTTATGCCAACCATTTAAGGAAAAAAGTATTAAAAGGTTTAAAAAAAGGTGCAAAAACTAGTATGGATACTACACAACAACAAACTATTAAAAATTGTCCCTCCTTTGTTTGGCACCAAAAAAAATAGCGGTCTATAATTTAAGATCACAGATTTTGTTCCTACTATTTTCGTTGATTAATAATTAAATACCTTCCAAATTTTACTTAAAGGTGTATTTAGGTTTTAAAAACAAAGCACTGATTTTTTTAATTAATTTACCGAATAATTGTGGTATTCAATAATACTGAAAATAATTTCTAGGGGTAGACGTCGCCAGCTACCTTCTCCAAACGATTCCAGTACTTCAACCCCAACGGAAAAACCTAAAATACACAGATGCAGAAAATCAACTTCGGATTTGACGGATATGAGCGACGATGAGCACAATACCACTACCACAGCACTCAGTAGATCTGGATCAAGGAAAGGTAAGGAAACTTTAACAAATTTTAATCAACATACATGATATCAAGATACATGAAACAGTTTGACCCTCTTTTAAATAATACTTAGATTTTATCTGAAAATATCTCGGAAAAAAATCGCAACGCGCCCGGTATACCTTGACTGTTTTTGTTGATTATTAATTGGTATGTTTTAGGTTCTAAAGGAGGTCTAGCATACCTGGCGAGTAGAAAAAGTTCTCGTGGTTCAAGGGAGTCGATATCCTCAGTATTAAGCAACGCTTCTAACGCTTCCAACGAAGGATTGGGTCCGTTGAACTTCCAACACCCTAGAAACAGGCAGAGAAGAACTTCTAATTTTCTGGAACTTCCAGGTATTGTTAATACATAAACAGTTACATACATCAAATCATCATTACTTCATTTCTTATAATTAATGAAAAAAAAACACGAGTAATTCACAGTTTCATTCAGAACCTGTATAGACAGACCACCCTGTATATATGCATTGCATAATAGACCTGAATTTATTGCATCGGGAACTGGGTCACTAGATCGAGATAAAAGCAAAAAGGAACGAGAGGCCTCTCGCGTTTTCATGCTGAACTGCTTTCGAAACAAAAGTCAGTCCAAATTGAAATAAAGCGAGGCAACGCTTTGTTTAGTACTGAATCTTGTCCCATTTATAAAGCTTAAATGCAGAAAATTGTTTCAACTATTTTTTTACAACAAATATTTAACTATTTTTAAACCATTTTAGTACAGAGACTATATCTTAAGAAGACAAATCCCAAGGGGTGTCTCACTATTGGAAATACATGTACATTTTCTTAGCAGTCGCTGACAGTCATTGGCAGTCGCTTTTTTTCAAAACAAGTATTTTCCAAAACAACTGCCGGAAACACTGCGACCTGTGAGGCCTATTGTGTTTGCCCCCCTTCTATATCTGCACCCATTCTCCTATCCCTGTGCCCTGCACTAGCTTATGCAGATCCTTGATAGGATGGGAGCATAGTTCCTCCGGTTCTAGCCTAGCTTTCCCAAATAAAAAGTATCGATCCAGAGCCTCGCAATGACATATTATGTGCTCCGCTGTTTCAGGATCTTTATCGCAGAGTCTGCAGCGAAGACTTCCTTGATACAGGTTGACCTTGTTCAGGTAACACTTGACCAAGAACGGTAAACCATAGATAAATGAAACAAGTTTAGATTGGAAAGTGCCCATAAGGACAATGTAAACACTATTTGGCGCTATTCTTGCAACGGTCGCGACCCAAATTTCGGAGCGGTTCGGCTTTTTCCGGAATTATATCGCCAAATATTGTTTATACAAATTTATTATTATTTTCGTTTAATTTTATAAATAAAATACAGTGTGTTGCATACAAAAAACTTTATTTTATATAAGGACGCATGTATGAAATACCTATGAAACATTGGAAACCGACGTTATGCCACGATCCACGATGGTTTTTGCAGTTCACAGTCCACAGCGCAGCTCTTTAAGTTTTTAATGCCACTTTTTCACAATTATCACCGGTTGGAGTAAATAAAATTTGAATTAAACTCACAAGATAGCAATAATTACTTTGAAAATGGACGCTATAAACACTTTTCCGAATTTCTTTAATGAGAGCGGTTTAGATTTTGAAAGATTATTATGATTTTTGAAGATTCTGACTTTGATAAGAGAAAATTATTTCTGTTTTTGTTTGCCGTTGTTCTTAGCGACCGCTATAGCAGCGCCAGATCGCGTATAACGGTCGCGACCCAAAATAATTTCGCGACCTAAAATTTTTACGGGCTTTCCAATCTAAACTTGTTGCATTTATCTATGCAGTAAACTAATAGGATTGCTCATCCTCATAAGACGTACGTTCGCCACTTCCCGCGCTTCAGCTGACAGTTGTGACGTCATTGTAGTCCTTATCAAAGCCTTGTCATGATAGTGTGTATTATTAGTTGCCTATGGTAGACTTATAAAAATAACAGCTGAGAAATGTTGAGTTAATTATTTTGTCAATTTTAAATGTGAAAAAGGTGTCTTTAAAGTTTTTAGAGCTATAGAGTGTCTAAATACGTTCATTTTGTGTTGTGGATTGTGACAAAGTGCTTACTAAGTGCCAACGATATTGTTTATTAATTATTTTAAAGCAAAATATGGAAGTATTCTAAAAAGAATGCTTGCAAAAGGTGATGTTGGGAGCTGCTGTTCTTAAAAATGCATTATCCGAGTATTTAATACGATTTATACAATTAATTTTCTATACTGCATACATATAAGGTGTTTAAATAAATAAACTAAATAATGAACGTTTTGCAGTCGGCAACCAATAAAGCACGTGTGACTAATAACCATGACAAGGACTAAAATGACGTCACAAAGCGAGTAGTTTTCGCATGCATCTGGCGAACACTTTTGGTTGAATGAGCAGTCCTATTAGGTTAACTGTTCTTGACACTTGATAGTAGAGATGGGCGGTTATTGGTAAAAAAACCGGTTATAGGTTAACCGGAATTATCTTTAAAAAACTTGTCAAAATTAACCGACACAAATTAACCGGTTATTCAAATAGCTAAGCAAGCTAGCAAAACTAAATATTTAGTTTTCCTATAGGTTTACTTACCTATACACTCCATAGGTCTACTTCAAATTTAGATAATAAACTTAGTTAAATGTACAAAATGAGTTTAAATAAAAATGCTAACCTCAGTTTTTTGAGTAGACATGGATATGATATTAAAACTAGTAATTACTTAACGTTCAAATAAACCATACAACTCACAAGTTCTACAATCTACAACCAAGTTATTTTAATCAAATACCAAAGAAAAATAAGGAGACTGAATGAATAAATAATGAAAGATTATCTTCATTCATTACTTGAACTTCAATTTTGTATTCTTAGTCTAAGCTTCAAGAGAGACTTCAAACTACAAATAAAATATATTTACGGTGAAACGTGGGTGAAACTGGGCGAAACCATGGAAAACGTTTGAAGAACCGTTGAAAATCCGTTAAAGTCTGTTAAAATTTAAATATAGAATTTAGAGAATGTATTTGAAGTTAGGTTCGTATCACTTGGCTAGTTGGTGGCTAGTAGTAGTCTATGGCATTAGTACTTTGTTTTACGGCCTGACCTGTCAGGGCCATTCGGCCGTTGTTTTGATTATTATCATCAGGGTTCGCCTGATGCCTGATTTAATTTTGACATTTAACGTTTGATATAATATATTTTCGTTTTGGGAGCGGGAGCGGGATCTCCCGTTATCGTCGTGATATCGGGAAGATCCGTGCCGTTCGCTTCTTCGAAATTTACGATTAAAACAGCTAATATTTAATTGTTACTTGTTTTAAACAAGTACGATTTTTTAAAAATAACCGGCTATAGGTTATTGAACGTAATGCAAAGGTATTAGGTTAATTGGTGAAAAAAAAACTACCTTTAAATAACCGGTTATTTTAGAAGAGAATACCGGTTATTCAAAAAACCGGTTACTTTTGCCCATCTCTACTTGACAGCCATGTGTCCTGTCAAGAGGCCTGTTGTAATCCGCACTTTATTCCTGCTAAGCATTAGCAGTTCTTTTGCGGTTTTAGAGCTAGGTCCATGGATAAAAGCCTTGATGTGCCTGTGCCCCTGTCTGTTTCTCCAATGGACATTCTGCTTTTCCCTGATCCAGAGTTTTAGTGCACTACGGGCCATACATTTGGTTATTCCCAGTACTGGCTCTGGACCAAGATAGGATGCCGATGATCCCTGCCTAGCCAGCTCATCGGCTTTTTCCTTGCTTTGGATGCCGCTGTGACTAGGCACCCAGAACAATTTAATTCTGTTCCTTCGTGCCAGACCTCCCAGTTCACCCAGGCATTCCCAGACGAGTCTCGACTATACCTTTGGGCTCATAAGCGCCCCAAGTGCCGCCTGACTGTCTGAGCATATATTGATGAGCTTACCTGAATAAGCTCTTCCATTGTTTTCTCTCGCACATTGTAGAATGGCGAATATTTCTGTCTGGAATACGGTCGAGTGTTTACCCAAGGAAAAGGATAAGCTTACCCTTGGTCTTTCCCCAAATACTCCAGCTCCTGTTCCTTCAGCGGTCTTTCACCCGTCTGCATACCAAGTTGGTTCATCCTGAAGGAATGTTACTTCCCCTAGGAGATGCAATCCACTTCCCCCAAGATGCCACGCCCACTCGGTGCCCACTGAGCGAGTATATAAACGCTCAACTTGTAGATTGTACTTTAGTTTATAATCATCTGCTGATGATGCTAACATGGTTAGCGAAACGCGCGCGCGTCCAGTGTAAAAGTAAAAGTGTTTTGGTGTATTGTGGTGATTTAGTGTTTTTATTTTACTGGGAACAGTAACAATGAAAGTTCCAAGGGACCAAACCCAAAGAGAACTACAGGAGAGGTGGCTGACACTTGCGTAAGACCATCCTCCGCAAGTGGCATACAAGTTACCACCTCCTCCAAAGGTCGGGAGCCTACCTCCTACCTCTAAACTCAACAGGCGACACAAGCTACCGTTTCGTCGACTGTGAAGGACACGGGTCTCCGTAGGAAGTCCTGGGACTGTATGATGAGTTATAACTCAAGAAAGGGGGACACAATAGATCTCTAAGGTCGCAGAGATTAACCCCCCTCCCACTTATTCTAAAATTCTAAAGAAGGAATGTTATATCTGTCCACATTCCTCGATCCATTTTGTTCACCTCGAATGGTTTGTGGTAGTGATAAAGAGGGATCATTTGGTCCGATCTCATTTGGAGTAGAGGTCCTCCGATAGAATCTCCCATCTTTAAGTTTACTGTTTCTGTCCTATTTCCCAGAGAAAAGACACTTTGTTGTCGATAGAGTCCCATTCTTGCCTCCGCCTGGATCACTATATGAAGAGGCGGAAGGTCCAGAAGCGCCTCCATTGATGCAGTGGGCGTTGATTTCATCGCCCCTGTTATGCTCAGACAAGCAAATCTTTGCACCTTGAGTTATAACTTATCATATTTCCCATCCTCCTCTGACAATAGCTGTTCATCCTCGGAGAAGGGGACATCTACTTCCTACGATGATATACAGTAGTACACTTTCCCCAGTTGGGGTTTAGCCCTTCGTCCCTTCACAGTCGAAAAGATTGTCTCCGGCTGAGGTACCCGTGAGGTGGATCATCATTCTCAGCTTATTCAACCATTTCCAATGAGGAAGATGCATATATTTTATTTTTCGCCAGAAACTGTTCAATTTATTAGAATAAATATGTATAAATGCAAAAAAAATTTTTTTCTTGAAAGCAGTACCACAATTTTATAAAATGGGCCATTAAAATACTATGGATAACGCAAACGACGCCTCGCGAATTGAAACGATATT